CTACAAAACACATATAGGTGAAGTTTTACAGTACTTCACTTACGACTTTATCACCGTTCAAAGTTCATCACACTGTCACAGATATCTAATAGTGTTTATTTTTTACAAGTCATAATGATCTGAAATTTGGTAGATGTGTGCGCTTTAGTGAGATGCACATCAATAAAATATAAAACAAATAATTTGAATGATAAAAATTATGCAAAATACCCCTATAAAGTTTTAGGGGTAATTTCATCATTTTATTTTATGTTTATTATTTTTTAATATTTTGTTTTGGTGAGACTTGATCATATATAGATATGCCCTAAATTTTAGATAAATATGATTAGTATAATAATTATAAAAATTCGAATACTATCGGATAACTGTGACCATGTGATGAGGTGTATGTGAAGTACTGTAGAACTTCACCTGTAGGCATTTGTAAATGCCTATATATATATATATATATATATAAGAAATGATATGATGCAACCGTTGTATCTTAATATAATGAGACGGTGTGTTGGCCAATATTTGGCTATGGGATTATGTTGAATCCAACGGGTGAGATTAAAACCCAAATCTCATTTGACCGCCTCTATCTCCCGCTCTTCTCTCCTTACTGTTGCCTCTCTCTTGCCTTCTCCACTTCTATTTGTACCGTCATCTCCTATAATCCTCTCTTTCTCTCTTCTTCCCTCTCCAAACTTTCTCTCTCTTCTTTCTTTACTCATTTTCTTCCTCCATCTCTCTCATTGCTCCCAAAACTCAGAGTTCCAAATAGTCAAGCAAAGTTAGAAGTTCCAAACTCAGAAGGTGCGATTGTTCCACTCATTGTAGAAGGTGTGATTTTTCCAACGAACTCAGAAGTTCCAAATAGCCAAATCAAACTCAGAAGGTGCGATTTTTCCACTCATTGTAGAATGTATGATTTTCCCAGCAAACTCAGAAGTTCCATAAACTCTGATGATGAGCAGTTCATGCGATTTCGGTGTATAGCCAAATTAGGGCTTTTGGTGTAGAAGGAGCGAATTTTCTATAGTTTTCTTGTATTTTTGCAATTCTTGAATCAATAAATAATGCAGATGGTGGGCATTTGTTCTTTGATTTCATTTATTTAGGTAGAGATGGCTGGTGAGCAATGTTCTGTTGTTTTATTCTAGGTTTGGGATTTGATACTTTGATTTCATTTATTTATGTAGGGATGACTGGTGAGCAATGTTCTGAACTACTTTGTTTGAGTTTCTTTTGAAGAATGAGTTGTTTTAATGGGATGGAACTATGACTTGATATCTTTTAAATTTAAGCTAAAAACTTGACACACTGGAATATCACGATTTTGAGAGGATTTTTGAGAAAAATCCCCAAAAATTATGAGTTATCGTCAGAATTTTTGAGAAGTATGATTTTTTAATGTTTATTGAATGTTTTTGGGGGTGTCTTCTTTTGTATAATGAGTTTAATGGCATGCAACTATTCAAAGGTATATGTTTTGTGTCAAGGCTTAGAGATTTC